AGACGGCCGGCAAAAATCACCGACTGTGTGAACGTGAAAATGAATAGAATATCACCTCCATCTTCAGAGCAATCTGACTATTATAACTATCATTATACTATTATGTTAAGAAAGCTTAATTAAATATCTGCCACAACATAAGTAACCGGATCAAAGTAACATTACGTAGCCTACAGTCCGCGGCACTGAGTGCAGATGTCAATGTGTCCCATTATCATTCATATCACATCATATCACATCATATCACTTCATAATGTATCATATATCTCCTGATCTGAGTCAGCTGAGCCGTATCTGGCCGTGCAACACTCACAGTGTCACATACTGTATGCAGAAGTATTATTTTAAGCAACACATTAAGTTGACGAAACACTCGAGACAAATGTAATTAAAGTCAGATCGTGTTTTAGACAGGGCAGTGATATCATAAACCTGTTCATGTACGCATTCAAACACTTTTTCTGTCACCAGCTGTGTTCACCTTGCAGGTGCAGCCATGTGGCTTTGATCCTGGATCAAGTGTTTAAGTCATGGATGTTTAAAGTTTAACTTCTTCATATGTATAATATTAAAGTTCACTTTTCATTCAGGAAGTATGACGCTGCGCTGTCAGTACGCTTCTCCATGTTTGTGATTGGTCGAATGCTCCAGATACCACCCCTTTCATGTGAACGCGCACCTAACTAGATAGGACACGGCTGGCTTGAGCGAACGAGTTGATAGCCAGCGTTGTAGGACAGTTTAGCGAGAGCGCGTATGTTTTGGATTAAGTCAACCGGATAACTCAAAACATATCCAGGATATGTTGAACTAGATTCGTAGTATACCCCCCTGGAAATGATGGATACACGGATCGTGTTCAAATCAATAGGCACGCAATGACTCTAAATAATAATGATCACGCATCAAACACACATTCAGACTAAAGGAACCAGCTGTTTGGAAAATGAGAGAAGTAGAAAGTACAGGTATTTGTGTTCAACATGTAAGAAGTAGAAAGTACAGGTATTTGAGTTTAACATGTAAGAAGTCAAATTTAAAAAGTCGTCAGAAAAATAAGTCGTGGAGTAAAGTACTGATACCAGAAAAATGTAAGTACATTAACGAAGTATTTGTACTCCACTACTTCCCACCTCTGGTCTTTAATTACACACACTTCCATAGACATAACAAACATTTGCACATCAGTTCAAAGATAATGCAAATCTTACCCAGGAGAGATGTTCAACGTCCAGATAATCCTCTGTGCTCGTTTTTATTTCAATATTACAATACATAAAGAACAATGGACTCCCCTGTGGCTTTTCCTGTGTTTTCCCCGATTAAAAAAACACATGTGCGCTCATACAAAAACCACCTGTCTCCAATATACAAGAATCACCAGGTGCCCAAATCCCCTAAAACCCCCTTCAAAATAAAAGCATAGAGAACCACTTCCACTAAAACAATTACAATACATTATGATTGATTTGATAAAAACAGAAGCAGCTAGAAAATAAACGTTTAATTACTAAATGACAGGACTCTTTAAAGTAGAGTCAATACATACTGATATACACCTGAACATCAGCAGGAGAGGACTCTTTAAAGTAGAGTCAATACATACTGATATACACCTGAACATCAGCAGGAGAGGACTCTTTAAAGTAGAGACACTACATACTGATATATACCTGAACATCAGCAGGAGAGGACTCTTTAAAGAAGAGACACTACATACTGATATACACCTGAACATCAGCAGGAGAGGACTCTTTAAAGTAGAGACACTACATACTGATATACACCTGAACATCAGCAGGAGAGGACTCTTTAAAGTAGAGACAATACATACTGATATACACCTGAACATCAGCAGGAGAGGACTCTTTAAAGTAGAGACACTACATACTGATATACACCTGAACATCAGCAGGAGAGGACTCTTTAAAGTAGAGACACTACATACTGATATACACCTGAACATCAGCAGGAGAGGACTCTTTAAAGTAGAGACAATACATACTGATATACACCTGCACATCAGCAGGAGAGGACTCTTTAAAGTAGAGACACTACATACTGATATACACCTGCACATCAGCAGGAGAGGACTTTTTAAAGTAGAGACACTACATACTGATATACACCTGCACATCAGCAGGAGAGGACTCTTTAAAGTAGAGACACTACATACTGATATACACATGAACATCAGCAGGAGAGGACTCTTTTAAAGTAGAGACACTACATACTGATATACACATGAACATCAGCAGGAGAGGACTCTTTAAAGTAGAGACACTACATACTGATATACACCTGAACATCAGCAGGAGAGGACTCTTTAAAGTAGAGACACTACATACTGATATACACATGAACATCAGCAGGAGAGGACTCTTTAAAGTAGAGACACTCCATACTGATATACACCTGAACATCAGCAGGAGAGGACTCTTTAAAGTAGAGACACTACATACTGATATACACCTGAACATCAGCAGGAGAGGACTCTTTAAAGTAAAGACACTACATACTGATATACACCTGAACATCAGCAGGAGAGGACTCTTTAAAGTAGAGACACTACATACTGATATACACCTGAACATCAGCAGGAGAGGACTCTTTAAAGTAGATACACTACATACTGATATACACCTGAACATCAGCAGGAGAGAACTCTTTAAAGTAGAGACACTACATACTGATATACACCTGAACATCAGCAGGAGAGGACTCTTTAAAGTAGAGACACTACATACTGATATACACCTGAACATCAGCAGGAGAGGACTCTTTAAAGTAGATACACTACATACTGATATACACCTGAACATCAGCAGGAGAGGACTCTTTAAAGTAGAGACACTACATACTGATATACACCTGCACATCAGCAGGAGAGGACTCTTTAAAGTAGAGACACTACATACTGATATACATATGAACATCAGCAGGAGAGGACTCTTTAAAGTAGAGACACTACATACTGATATACACCTGAACATCAGGAGAGGACTCTTTAAAGTAGAGACACTAAATACTGATATACACCTGAACATCAGGAGACGACTCTTTAAAGTAGAGACACTAAATACTGATATACATATGAACATCAGGAGAGGACTCTTTAAAGTAGAGACACTAAATACTGATATACATATGAACATCAGCAGGAGAGGACTCTTTAAAGTATAGTCACTACATACTGATATACACCTGAACATCAGCAGGAGAGGACTCTTTAAAGTAGAGACACTACATACTGATATACACATGAACATCAGCAGGAGAGGACTCTTTAAAGTAGAGACACTACATACTGATATACACATGAACATCAGCAAGAGAGGACTCTTTAAAGTAGAGACACTACATACTGATATACACCTGAACATCAGCAGGAGAGGACTCTTTAAAGTAGAGACACTACATACTGATATACACCTGAACATCAGCAGGAGAGGACTCTTTAAAGTAGAGACAAATCCCCTAAAACCACCTTCAAATAAAAGCATAGAGAACCCGTTTCACTAAAATAATTACAGTAAATAATGATTGATTTGATAAAAACAAAAACAGCTAGAAAACAAATGTTTAATTACTAAATATCATAATTGAATGGAGGTTTTTTTCGACAGGGAGGGTTATCGGCGGCCCCTGCTCGCGCCGTCTCTGCCGTGAAGAACATGAATCTGCCCGAAATGCCCCGAAACATCAACATCGGAGACATCAACATCAAAGTGCCGAGCCTCTCCCCGTTCTGAGAGGACTTCCTGCCGGGCTCTGATGCTCCTCCGCCCATTTCTGCTGTAAACACTGAGAGAAAATCTGTTTTATATATTCGTGTATTATAAAAACCACGGCAGCTTAATCCTGTCCCGCTCGTTCCTCACGCATAGTTCGTTTGTATGAAACAAATGATTTGCACAATAATGTAAAGTTTGATTCTTTAAAGCTTCATTTATGTTCATATTTATGTATTTGTTGGTAACACTGTAGATTAAGGTATTCACCATCAACTGGTTGTTAATTAACATATTAGAGGCAAACTTCTAGCTTATTAGTGAACATATTAAGTTATTTTGACACAATTAACACTTGTAGTTTCATGTCTTGTTACATGTTCTTGTTGAATAGATCATATTTGTTAGGTGTTATGAGAGAATTACTATTCTTGTGGTACTTCTGCCTTATTACGCCCATATTGAGCATATTAAAACCCAATCTCATGTACAACAACTTCCTTACTTGCAATAAATAAGCACTAATTAGAGGGTTATTGAGGAAAAACTCTCAACTAATGGCTTATTACTTGTAGAATACGGTCATGTAGAATAAGGCATTACTAAGTGTTTAATACTGACTGATAAAGAGCTAATATATTGCTAATATGCACGATAATTACTAGTTGATGGTGAATTTGTGTACCTTAATATAAAGTGTTACCATGTATTTCTTTCTGTTGTTTCTCCGCCTCTCTGCACAATCTGAAACATTCATCAGCGTCCAAGGTTTCACAACTTGTTTGGACTCGGCACAGTTCCCTGTAATCCGATCTTTTGGCTTTTGTATCAGGTTGTTATTCCTCACATACAGTAGACCTCCTCTGCTTAGCTCTTGTCACAATTAATCTTCCCCTCGCTGTAATATATACAGCGTCTCGGACATCTCTGTGCTTTGTGAATGTGTTATTAATCTCCCGGGTGCAGCTTGTGCTCAGAAAATGCATTTTAAGTTGAGGCAGATTCAATGTGCTGTGATAAGATCTGTCTAACATTTGTTACATGTTTGTAGTGTCTTATTGTTGGTGTTTAGTGGTTGAAACTAGCCATTGTAAAGACATTCCTTACTATAGTAAAATATTAAAAAGAAAACTAAATCCCTGCGTCTGTATATCTTCTTCCCTCTTTTTAACTTTGTCACCAGACTGGTTAGTTTGCATCATGGGAGTTCTTTAATGAAACCGGTCTGTACAGTCTGCAGCTTTTCACCACAATGAGTTAGCAGTCTTGTTGATTCAGTCGCATTCTTCCAGCCCCCTTTTCCTGGTAATTTAGGTTTTTTTTGGTGGAGTTGTTCCCTCCCTTCATCACCAGGAAAAACCTTTACCTCCACCCTCACATTATTCCACTTGCTCGCTGCATTCGGACTTATATCAGAGCTCAGCGGACGTCCAGCTCCAGGTCTGGTATGTGCTGTTTTCCACCATGTTTGACGGGGTCATTTATCCAACATGCTGCATGCCAACACACTCCTTAGGTTGTGTGTTGCCTCACTGCAGAGACTGTGATCGTGTGTGTGTTTCAGCATTTTCAGTGTTTGGCATCTGGTGCTTTAAGCTTTAAGGGTTTCTCGGTCGAAAACAACAACAATCACAACTTATTGTTTGTTTTGCAAAATGGTGCATGAAGGCAGTATAGACGGAGTATATGCACTGTGAAAAGCTGTTCATGGAAAGTATATCTAACCGTTATAACTGATGTTTGTTATTCCTCTTCTGATTTCACTGGCTATAGTTCAAATGAAAGATATGTATATATATGTATATGTATATGTATATGTTAGGGAATAATTTTCTTAGGTATTCAACCTTTGACACGGTTCATCATGTTCTCCTCTCACTGTCTCCTTTCCCACGGCATAGGTCTACGGCCTTGGGTATATTGCTGCTATCTCTCTTAAGGAGGCGCAGCTTGGGCGGATTGGTGCCAGTCTGTGACAGAGCACCAGCCGTCATGAGGTAGTTTACTGTTCAGGGACGAAGGTTCCCTGGCACACATTCCTGGCACTATGGACGAGAGCTCTAGTTAGATTCAGGGTCCATATTGCTTTAGTCTCGCTGATGAAGAATGTTGATTATTACACTCCGAACTAGTTAAAACCTCGAACTACAGAAAGAGGTCTTCAGAATTGGTTTGGCAACCGCTGTGTCAACTCGTGACACACCACCTGTTTTGTCAATTCTCCGGCCGTAACTCCGAATAAATCGTCAGTGTTTGCCATCAAAGCTCCAGCTCTCCTCGTGTCTCTCTGAGTCCTGTCTCCCCCACCGTATAAAGAATAAATATGATCTCATTTAAACAACACAACACTTTTACTTTACCTTCTTATCTTTAAAGTAACAATTCTATTTTATTTAACCTTTTATTGGAGAGTTTTAAACTTTTGTTTTAATTGCACACTCTTACTTTCACTCTGTTTATATAAACACTTCAATTTATTTTATTTTTATATTTCATCAGACATTTAACTATAACGTGTTATGTTTATATAAATATCTTTATTTTTGTATCTTCAAATATACTTATTTTTGCTCTAATTCTTATGTTAATATAAATATAAATTACAAATATTTGTATTTATATTTGACATTCTACCTTGACTTATGTTTATTTAAAGGTCACCTATTATGCAAAATCCACTTGTTCATGTCTCTTATACGTAAACTTGTGTCCTCTCTGTGGAAAGAGACTATTCTCTCTCTTTCTGTCCTGATCCATTTCTATAAAAACCTGTCTGAAAATGAGCTGATCAGATTTTGGCCACTTTATGATGTCATAACGATGTGTTGTCTTGTGTAACCATTAGCCAATCAGCAACCAAGGTACCTCCCCCCCCCTTATCACCTGGATCTCCTCCTAGAGCACCATTGAGTTCTTTGTAACCAAATCTCTCTCAGAGGGGCGTGGGGAGGGGCTCCTTATTTTCATCTAAAGCAGTGTTTCTCAAAGTGGGGGGCGCAGAGAGATTTAACACCAGCGATGAGATTTAAAAAAAAATAAAAATCATTTGAAAAATTATTGATTCGAAAATAACATGATACAGTACAAGTAGTCTGGGTCTCTGTGTTTCATTCAAGCTCGGCTCTGTGTGTGTGTGGACAGCGCCAATTTGGGTGAGAGATGATGAGAGCGAGAGAGAACGAGAGCAGAGAGAGAGAGACGAGAGAGAGAGACAGATGAGAAGAGTAGGAAGAGGCAGAGAGAGAGAGAGCGAGAGACGAGAGAGAGAGAGAGAGACGAGGAGAAGAAAGAGAGAGAGGAGTGGAGAGGAGCGGAGGGAGAGAGAGGAGGAGAGAGAGGAGAGAGAGAGAGCGAGCAGAGAGAGAGAGAGAGGATCGTTAGCTTCTGGTGGCCGGGTCTCAAACGTTTTGGTCACGATTATTATTTTTTCCGAGGCACACGTTGATCATTATAGTTATAAAAAAATAAGAGAATAAATGAAAAACAGGTATGAAACAAGTAAAACAAGAATACAGTTTAAAAGGTGATTTGTAAAATATCCATAAAGAAAAAGTAAATCTGTTTACAGTTCTGTTTCATCTGGATGCTGAGAGATGTCTCCATAGATCTCTTCATGTTGCTCTCAAAGTGCACCAGATTGATGCTTTTAACTTCAAAATAAAAATAAATCTTCCTGGGGGAGCTTGCCCCCAGACCCTCCTAGAGGATGTGAGGTCCACTCCCCACTTGTAAAAATAGCACTTTACCCCTGCTTACACCTATATGCCGTGAGCTGATTATCGAGCCTTCATTGTAACAGTCGCGGGTACACTGTGTGTGCGTGGGGATTGTTGCAGTACAAAGTTCCACTGTAGCGCCCGGTACCTTAATGGGAAACCCTAAATGTTTGAGCACCCTCTATGAAACGTCAAGCTACCCCACAGCACCCCCAAAATAAATCTCTGGCGCCGCCACTGAGCCTGCAACCCCGTTTTGAAGAAATGCGCAAAACAGGCTCATTGCAGCCACTGATGATAAGACACACTTTCTGCCAAATATCAGCATTTTCTTTCTTTTCATTTTTTTGCACAGATTGTGGACAAGTATTATAACTTATTGTTCTAGCAAAGGGATTGCACAATTGTATTCATTTTTTGACCACACAGACTTCTGGAGCATTGTTTTATTATCACTGTTCTAGCCAAGGAATGCTCACGTTCATATTGATGTATTTTAATAAATGGCCCATTACGTGACTATTTGTGTTGGGGGGCCCGACTTTTCTTTTTCTCCTGACAGAAAAAGTTTGAGAGCCACTGATCTAAAGTAACAGACACAGGGTATTTCTCAATGTCGAGGATGCTTCCTTGGTAGGACATTTAGTAGGGATTTTAAGACCGCGGAGGATACACATGTGCAGCCTCGAAATTTCCCTCAACGAAGGCCTCGGTAGAATTCCAAGCATCCTGGACATTGGAACAGTCCTTCCGCGGGACTCGATGACGTAGCATCCTTGAAATAGTGGCTCTCGAGCAGCCTTCCTCGACATTGAGAAACACCCAGAGTCAGAATCAGCACTTTTGAAAAAAAAAGCCAATCAGAGACAGGTTCTGTATATATCTGACCTGTATTGATGTAAAACAGTATAATAGGGGACCTTTAACGTTACATCTATACAGAATGATATATTATTAATACTAACAAACCATTGTTTGATTGTAAGAAACATATATTGTTGTACAATGTGCACATTTTTACTATAGCATCTTATGTTTATAATAACACTTATTTTTATTTTTTATTACACATTCTTACTTTACCTTCCTATGTTCGTACCAATACTTTAAAGGTAGGGTAGGTAAGAATGGAGAAACCAGCTGGAGTGCGCTAGAAGTACGCAGCCGAAAAAAAATCTGCCCCTTCCTTCAGACTTCCTCACAGAGTCCCTCCTCCAACACACACGAACACGCACATGACCAATGAGGGCACGAGATAAGTTTGTGCCCAGATGGAAGGCTGACAGGCAGGTAGGCCATCCAGTTACTTTAGCCGGGCCGACTCAGATGATTGGTCGTGCTTTTTACAGCGCCACGCCTTCCACAGGTTAGGTTAGTTCTCCTGCTTCTTACAGTGCAGACACTTTTCTGCTTGCTCTTGCCTCTGCTTACTTTTTTATGCTGATTTTCCTATTTTTCTTTTCTGATAACTTCGAGCAGCGGCTCCTGGACATTAACTTATCACTGGGACAGTTATTCTTCGTAAATAGATTAAGGGTTTCATCCATATTTCAATATTTTTACAACGACCTCAGTCTTACAGTAGCGTGGCCTAGCAACAGCTAAAGCCTGGTACTGCATGCTATTTAGCTAGTTGGTAGCAAAATGCCTCCGTTCTCTACAGATGACTTCCACAAACTTCTACAGAAGATGGCCGTGTTGGAAATGAAAATGCAACGGTTGGAAGTTAACGTGGAAGTGAATGGACTAGGTTGGAATGACACCACTTTACCAGTGCTGCAAAAATAATGGACAAGGGCATGCTAACTTACAGCTAGTTAGCAGCTACAAGGATTCCAAGGAACAGGAGGGCTGTGTACCGGGTAATACATCTACAAGTGGTAGTCCTCCCTGGAACTCTCTGGGTGCAAAGCCTAAGAGTAAATCACTTCCATGGGATTTGGGAGGACGGATAACAGGCAGAGCCCAGCGCTCTGAAATCTGTAATGCGACCGGCTGGCCTGCATTGTTATCACCCAGGAAGAGCGCCTCTTCAACCCCTGTTCCTACTAGGAAACAGCAGTGGACAGCTGCTAAAGGGAGAACTACAAACAATCCTCCTAAACCACCGAGTGTGCCAATCCAGAACAGATACGCTCTGCTGACCGAGAGCCGGAGATCTGATGACCTGGATAACCTGTCCTCTTCACGCAGCAGGGTAAGGACCAATAGCTACTCCAAAAGTAAAAGGCTAGAGGGAAAGCTAACGACTGGGCCTGAAACTCTGATTGTGGGTGACTCTGCTGTAAGAGATGTAAAAGGTCTGTGTAATAAGAACAACACCAAAGTACTCTGTTTTCCCAAGGATGTGGTCTCTGACTTGGCTGAGAAGATCCTGCATATTGGGGCTGAACATCCGACTGTGAAGAATGTGGTACTGCACATTGGAACAAATGATGTTGTGAAACAACAGTCAGAAGTGCTGAAAAAAGACTTTAAATGTCTGTTGGAAACTGCCAGCTCTCTAAATGCAGAGGTGTTCATCAGTGGCCCTCTACCGCCAGTCAGAAGAGGAGTGGAGAGATTCAGCAGATTGTTTGCACTGAACACCTGGCTTTCAACTGCCTATACAGACCGTTATGTCCATTTTATTGACAGCTTTAACTTTTTCTGGGACCACAGACATCTTTTTAAGGCAGATGGAATTTGCATGAACAAGTCAGGAGTACAATTGTTTATCTCTAACATAT